ATGTAATGACCTATTTAATGGAGTATGAGCGAGTGCATACTGTTTGAAGCGACTCCATGAACAAAGCAGAGAAACTTGTTAAAGCTTGAAACACACCAGGTAAACCTGTCTGCAGATTATTCAGAGTCATGGCTCTTGTCACTTCTATTGCCTTTGAATGTTTCACCATCTCTTCCTCTACTCTCCTTTGACAAGCTGCTAGCTCCGATTTTTTATCGCTTAGCGGGTCTCGAGCGTCTAGCATGTGTTGGTTATCGGGTCCTGAATCTGGTAAACCGACACCGACCATTGAGTATGACTGGTAATATTTCCTCTCTAGGTTTCTAAGCGACGAAGCTTTCTTCTCGAGCTCTTTTGATACTGATTCTGTTCTTTTCTTTATCTTGTGCTCATCAGATTGTTTCGCTGATATAACATGCACAACGTTTATGAAGCTTTTGATTGCTTCGGAGGCGACTGTATCCGGAACACGGTCTAGAGCAAGTTTCCACTCCTCGCAGAACGCGAAAGCATCGAGCTGCTCTTTATGTTGATTGGCAGCGGCATCTTCGTGGCAGACGGGAAGGAGGGTTAGTTTGAACCAGGCGTGAACCGAGTGTATGAAGTCACGTTGGAATTTGATCAGACGACTGAAACTTGAGTGCCACGATGAGACAGTTGATTCTAAGTCACGTGTCGCTTGTCGGTGTAACTCAGAGGTTGATTCGCCTTTGCCTAATCTGTTGATGAGCCCTCGGACTTGTTGCACAATGCTATTCTGAGTCTCGTGGAATTGATGCATAGATTTCCACATATACATAAAGCTGGATCAGATAAAAGAAAACAGAAAAAAAAAGATTTTTAATTCATTATCTCCAATCTCTATCAAAATGTCACAAATGGGTTACTTACAGAGTTCACATGATAAATACCAGAAACCTAATCCATATTGCTATTGTCTCTAAGTCTGAGACATGATTACCAATTTCAGCAGTTTACTAGTTACTTTGACATGATAAGCTATAAAAGGTAAAAAGCTAAGAGCACCTAAACTGTAACAAAAGATAAAAGAGAGGTAAGGGGCCTTTTTGTCTCACTCTTAAGCATATCAAGGACCACAGAATTGTATCTCATTATTGTTTCACCTACTTATTGAGTGCACAAGATTCTTTTAAAGATATGAAAAGTAGGTAGAAGTGATTAGTACAGTGACTGCTTTCCAAAAATGTGAAAAAATGTCAAATTCAAAAATGATTGCTTGCCAAAAATATCAAGATTCAAGCCAAAAAACTGTTGCAAGCAGCAGGTGATTGATTCACTTATTTAGATAAGAGGAAACTTACCCATGACATAGTTCAACGAGCTGAGGAACAAGGTCGGTATCACGAAGACGGATTATGGCAGTAGATGTGGTTGTAACAGCTTGAGAAGTAACAATTATCAGTGACTGTAACCTCGTTATCGAAGCCTTTGTCTTGTCTAGCTTAGCTTCATCTTCTCCTTTATACTCTTGGCTTTGAAGTTGAGATAACTTCTTCTCATGCTCAATCTTCACACTTTCTCTCGCCTATGAAACAAAAATTCATCAGTAACCAACAATCAATTAGTACAAGGGCAATGATTTGGAACAAAACTGAAAGAGACCTTGATTTCTTCGTACAGCTTCTTCTCCCATGCCAAGAGACGGTCAAGTGTAGCACAAAGGCTCTTTGGACTGTTTGGTTGATCCAATGCAGTCGTGTCTATCCTGTATTTGACTGCTAATGGCGGCTTCGAGGTCCATGTCGAGCTCAAATTGCTCAATACGCTACTCGAATGAATCACCGTTTCTAAAGAAACAACACAAATCTCACAATGTCACCAACTCAAAATTCATCAAACTTATCAAAAACAGTACGAAACAGATTCAAAACTCACTCTTCAATTGGCTAAAACTTCGATCAAGCTGAGCTCTACCGAGCTCAAGCATCTGCGATACTTGATCGCCGGAAGCCGCCGCCTTGTCGAAATTCTCCTTAATCGCATCAACGATTTCTTTCAAATCTCTATGCCTAACCACCATCTTCATATCGGTGATCTCTCTTCCTCCTCTATAGCTACCGGAAGATATCGTCGCATTATCTGCTTTGTCATATTCTTCCGGCATTGGTGCAGGTTGTTGCTGGTGGTGGTTTTTTCGACTCATCGAATTAGTCCTCACCGTAGATCCGAAATCGGAATGCGTCCCGATCTCGGAAATCGACTC